TTACATACACATATACATATACATATATATATATATATATACACATATATATACATTTAAAGATAAAAATACTAATTATACATATATTATACCTTCTCCGTCACTACTATCGCCTCTTGCTTGTTTTCTTGGTGAAGGTCCTTCAGATGGAGCAGGACTGGGTTCTTCTTCATCTTCATCTGGACTACTTCCATCTATTCCACTAGGATCACTAGTACTACTTCCACCAATACCACTAGTACCTCTTAAAATTTCTCTGTTTTTTATAGATAAACTTCTTGGATAACCTGAACCACCTGCTGTCCAAATAAATTTTATCAAAGCAGATGCCAGGAATAAACTTTGTTCTGTGTGGTCCTTTGGCTCCAATTTTCCTAACAAAGAGTATAAATGTAAAACTGGAGTTGGAGCCAAATGTTTTACTAAGGGTGCCAATAAATCATATACTGGCCGACCACAATGTTTCAATTGTGCAGCTTGCCACATAGTATCCATATCAGAACATGTGATTCTACCTTCCATAGCTAAGAAACTTAGTACAATATGACTTTGTTTAATAACCTCTACATGCAAATTTGGTCCAAATATATGAGCTATTATATTATTTTCTGTTAACCATGCAGCCAATGCATGGCCTACTTGTTCCACTTCAGCGACAGTTTCACTATTGCAAAGTTCATTGAATGCAGTAATATGAGCATTTATTTGAGCTATTCCTGCTAGTCTCATAGTTAAAGTTGTACTAGTAAAATATTTAAATGCTAAATCCAATCCATCACGATCAAAACTTGGTAAAACAGCATCGATAGGATCCTTTACAGCACTCCACATGAAATCTAAATATAAAAAGTTTTATAAATACAAAAATAGAAAATACATATCATAAATTATTATAATCTTATTTATTTCAAAATTTACCTGCCATCGTTCTAACTGCTGGTGTGCGTAATTCTTTATCCGCTAAGCGACACATATATTTCATAACACGACTGCGTAATGGTATAAAGAGCTGAATAACGCTACCATAATTTAACCAAAGTTTTAAATTACAAATCACTACAACCATTGAATGTGCAAGACTAACAGGTAATGTATTTTCCATATCAAAACAAGCAGACATTAAATTGAAACCACCTTGATGACAAAATATGGAAACTGCTCTAATTAAAGGGGCTGGCACTTCTGGATCATGAGGCTCACAATATCCTCCTTCATCCTTTAAAACAACAAAAAATAATGTATAATTATGTACATAGAAAATTATATCTTTTACAGTAATATACTGTAATTGAATTACTTTTATTGGAGCTAATGGATTAATTGCACCACCATGTTTCATTGCAATATAGAGAGGAAAATTTAATAAAAATATTTTTGAAAGAAGATGAAACAATTTTTCTCTATCTTGTTGAGACCAGTTGTGTTTCATTTGTATTTCTATTTGTGCAAAATCTGAGTTTTCTGCTTTATTTTCATCTGTTTTTCCTTCTTCTTTTTCGTCTTTGGATGGTATTTTTCCAATACTCGTTTGCTGACCATTTTGTTGTATAATTTGTAATTGTTGCAATGTACATAATACAACACTCTGTGTTAACCTTATAAATCGATCAAAATTTTTTATTTCTCGATAACAGCACATGCATTGTCTATAAAAATGAAAAACAACAAATTATATTAAAATATAGGTTAAAATACAAGCTTATTAAACATTTATTGTATTAATTTAAATGTTTGGTATATATTATAAGAAGTAAAATGAAATCAGACCTTTGTACCCACTGATTAACATAATGTAATGTAGTGTCCACATCCGAAATACAAAGTGTTGCCAATCCATCTTGTTCCTTCGATGATCTTTCATCATCTAGAGATAAATTATAGATAAAAAAACAAACAATATGAAAATTTTAATAAATTTGCTACAACATACACAAGTAAAATCAATCTATAAAAGTATTCTCATATTACTACACCATCTTAGATCAAACATTTCACCTAGATCAACATGTCGTACAATTTTAATATTTTAATTACGACTTCTGAAAATATTTTAACACTAAAAGATTTTATTATCTTATACATTTAACACTGAAACATATAGAAATTAATAAATCTTAAAATCGTACATAAGCAAGTAAGGTTATAAATTATAATGTTACAAACAGACTTTCATTGTATAAGATAGTAAGTATGATTATGAATTCCGAAGATTTTCACAACAAAGTGTTCCTACATTGCCTATACTAAAACATCAGTTAATGATGAGGAATAAAAATTTGCAAACATGCAACACAGTGTGCTAGGTTAACATGAAAGGTATTGTACATATTTTGCTTACAGGAGAGCAGAAGGTCGTGAAAGTCAACACATACATCACACATGATTTTCTTGCTTTAGCCTCAGAAAAGGCTTTTAATCACGTTAAGTTCATCACTCAACTTCACCACCATCCATCGCAAACGTTGGTAATATTAAACATTTGTATTCTTGATTATCCTCAACACTTGATTAATTCGTTAGTCACCATATTGCTTTTTTACACAGCTGCGTTCACTTGCCGCTTACTTCAGATGAGCAACAATAAATACGTTTCTATGTTTTTTTTTTTTTCAAATCTCCTACATCTAGGAAATAATATGATAATGAAAAACTATTTCGCTCTATCGTTGAAGTTCACAAATACTTTTGCGCAGATAATTCCTAAAAAATTCTAACTTTCTACTTATCAAAATGAATGTCATTATGACAGAAGACAGCTGATCGCCGCCATATTTTATTGAAATAATGTGATATTTAAAATGATCGCATCAGTATTTTTAAATATTAATGAGACACATCAATTAAAAAATTATTTTTTTTTATTTACAAATATATAAAATGAAATTTTAAATCTTATTCCATTTCTCATTTGTATTTTATTAATCATTTTCTTGAATTATAAGTTTTATTATTCAAAATTTATTATCTTAAATTTATTATTATTTTTAATTATTTTAATTATGTTTAATTTATTTAATATTAATAAATTATGCTATTACTAAACATGTAAATCTTATTAAAAAATTATGATTAAAAATTTATTCATAATATGCCTATATTATCAATTATTAAATACATGATTGATAAAATAATGTTAAATAATAAATATCTTATATATTACGGATCTGATAATAACGAATGAGTCTTATAAAAAATTTATGAAACAATTTTAAATTGTTTAAAATGAAAGAAGTAATATTACTTTTATGTTGTTTACAGACAATTAAATTCATTTCATAACGTTAGAAAGTAATTAATGTTAAAAAATAAAAAATAAAAAATGTAGTTTGAGAAAGTAGATACATTAATTTTTTTTGGTTTAGCTATAACCTTTGAGACATTCACTGTAATGTTTAATTATACTAAAATATCGTTAAATTCTTAATGTAACAATTTCTGCCTGTAATTACGATATAATTTGTTCGTTTATATCTAGTTTCATTTACTCAAATATATTTTTATTGTGCATTTAATTCGTAATATCAGGGAAAAAAGAAATGTTACAAGTTATTTTATTATGTATAATTCTGATGAGAGTAGTAGCAGTAAAATACAGTGCTGGTAGCGCCAGTTGTTCAGAACTATGATAAACAATCTCGGAAGAAGCATAACATCTTGTGTGATTTCGTAGGATAATAATTTTCGCCTAAAGTTATTGACGCGCGAATCAAATTGCAGGGTGTCGACAAGTGCCATACGAACAAGAATAAATTAATAAATAATTGAAATGGGTAGCACGGATAAAGCTGTGATCACGGGTTTTATATGCAGACTTTGCAGTAAGATGAATCGTTTCGTGATCCATATATACGGTGAAGAGGGTGAGAGAATGAAACTTGCTGAAAAAATAAATGCTTATCTTCCAATTACGGTAAAGTCATAATCTGCTGCTTTTCTACTTTCTAAAATTAGTCTCTCGCCGATATTAAATTTTTATGCTTTTCATTATGTATTGTATATACGAGTGGTTAAGATTTCATCTTTCCTCGCTTGTGCGAACACTTTAATCATATCTGACAGTTCTGTTTTAAATGCAACAATAATTTGAAGATTGCAGAATTATTTACAACATGATGATAAAGATAGTTTGTTTCATTATAAATTTTTTTAAATCTTAAACATCGCTATGTATCATAACAATTTACATTAACTTAGAGAAAACTTAATCAATTATTCAAGAGTTTAGTTCTGCATTTAATCAATGTTTTCAATTTTTTCAAACATATCGTGTATTATGATGCTAATATTAGTAAATATTTGCATCTAGTTTTGAAACATAAAAAAAAAATTTTTACCTTTTTGTCATGCAGGTAAACATGAATGATCCATTACCTAAAACCGCATGTCTACATTGTATTGAGCGGCTAGAAGCTCATCATGAATTAATGGAACAATTTTTATTAGCTAAACGAAGGTTAACTACACAGAATAAATCATCAACAGTTGCATCAACTTCTACACAAACTATTGATACTGCACCAACATCTAGTCCACCTCCATGTTGACATATAGAATTAAAAGCAGATTTTATCGCTCAATATTATTGAACATTTTCTATATCTTATTGGTATTGTTATTTTAGTAATTTATTACTAGAGAAACAAAATTTTTTTTTTAAACGTTTTTTGTTAAACAAAAACGTATATACATAATTAATTGATTCAACAATTTATTAAATTATCTTTGAAAATTTTCTTCTTAAAATATCTTATAGATGTTTTCGATGTACAAACTTTATTTTGTATAAACTCATTTTTTACATCAGTTATTATAGATATTTTTTATTGATATTATAATATAAAATATATAAATAATTATAATTTGTTTGTATTTCATATCTTCAAAAAAACTGGAACATTTTTTCTTGACTGCTGATGATCAATAATGAAGTCAAAAATATGTTTATATTAGTGATATTTCTGATAAATATTTTTAGGCATATTTAACAATGTTCAGATTATTGAATTAATTAATATTTTATTTTATGTATTCTGTACAGTTTTTATTAACAGAAATTTTTAAACATCTTTTAATAATCTAAGATAATATTGCTTTTTTAACAGATCTATACTGTTGGTGTACAAAGATAAATAGATAAATATATCAAAGTAATTTCTTAGAATATTAAATGATGTCTGAATATTACACAATTGAATGTAAAAATAAGAAATTTAGTTGATAAAGTTTTTACTAGCATTATGTATTAGATACGCAAAACTGTCAATATTAATGTACATTAAATTGATCATATTTTCTTTGTTATTAAATATGTCAACTTATATATTTACATATATATACATATATATATATATATGTTATATATATGTGTGTATATAGTACAAAATATAACAAGAATATTTGCATAATTATATTATATTAACATATATTATTCCACAGAGTTTAATCAAATTTAAATGTTTACCTCTAAGTTGCAATATAATAAATAATTTATAAAAATTTTTAAATATATATAATTTTAATTAATTACAGTACTTTGTATTTTTAAAAACCAAAAGTCTTTATTAGAATGATATAAGGACAAATGATATTACTATAATTTATTAAGATAAGATTTATTTCTTAACAATATCCGCTAACACAAATGTTATGTGGAACAATATTATTGGTTGGCGACACAATCCACATTGTGCTTATTATATTTATTATTTCACATGTAGTTCATGATTTACAAAGAGAAAATTTGTTTTCAGAAGACAAGGATGCGTTCGTCACTCAAATATTATTGTAAAACCATAAACTTTGTTTTACTTTATTTCACTTTTTTATTTAATGTCATCATTATTGCATAAGAAAAGACAATATAAATTTGTTATATCTGTGATAAATATATATATAATAGTCTATCTATATATGTAGCCAATATTTTCAAATTAATGACTGATAATCTGTATAATAGCATTTTCTTATAAATATTATTGCCTAAATGTAAGTGCAAATAATAAAAATAATGGTAAATCATGATAAAATAACAAATGCATGTATTTAAGATTTGTCTAGGACAATATGAAATTCATTCATTATTTTATTTATTCTATAAATAAAAGGAGATCTATTAAGTAATATTATATTCTATATATATCTATATATATATAATATATTTGCAAAAAAAAAAGTATAATATGCCTAAAAAAACTTGAAAGAACTGTCCATAACAAAAAAAAAATAACAATATTATTAATATTAACATTTTAATATTACTGTTTACAATTCTGCTATCAATTATTTTGTAGTTTATTAAACTGAATTTTACAATATGTGTGTATATACACATATGTGTATATGTGTATATATTTCTATATGTATATTTTACAATGCTTTTATATTTAAATACCTTAAACTATTTTCATTGTTAATTCTAGTAGAAATTACATCCAAAATGAAATGTTTTTATATAGTTCTACTAGAATAATAGAGGACAACATATAAATAAAACGTTCTTTGTTTTAACGCAATTTGATAAAATGTAAATATTTTTGTAGGTATTAATTAATTGCAAATATTATTTGACTGAGTGTCGATACACATTCTCTTGACTTCTTAAAACAAATATTTAGCATATGTTACTGCAGGATTTCTGAAACCATTATACAATAATATGCATAGCTATATCTGTGTGCGATAAACTACTAAAACCTGGCTTATAAGTGTCTTCAACACACACAATGTAAAATATGTACAAAGATTTATGGAGCTCAACTGCTTATTTTCTTTCATTTTTCCCCCAATCAGTGAATGATCATGTTGTCTGATACTATAAAGCATATCCGCGACTGATTTTTTTATAAAAAATATATAATATATATCTATATAAAATTTCATTCTTTTTTCAGCCAACATGTCTTCGTATAAATTTAATTCCACTCAGGGGTATTTGATTTTGTTTTCTGCAACTTGTTTCTTAACTTTAATTTTTTTGTTTTCTTTTAATTTAGTACCTAAAGTACTTTGACGCTCAAATAGAAATATAAATGCATCTTTGACCAATTACGATATACAAGACGATGAACGTCTAATATCTATCTGATGATTAAAGCACAATGGCAGCAATTTTTCAAATATAATGCAAAAGGCTGTAAATTGATAAATGTTGTTGAGCTGCATTCATGACAAGCGCATAGTTGAAAATCCAATTCTATGCATTTTGCCAAGAAATTTAGTAGTACGAATATGATTATTAATTACAATAGACTTTAATATTTTGTATTTTAGAATAATTATATATAATACGATATTCTATTTATGTAAATTATGTACATGAATTAAAGTAATTAATTTTTTAGAAGTTAAAAATTATGCTATATCTCACATACATATCAATGTACAATCATCCGTTCGCAAATTGTTTATAATCATCTTCTTACTACTTTAAAAATCACATTAAATTACAATATTTCCTTTTATATTGTAAATAAAAAATTTCGATCTCAAGGATGCTAAAAATTCTATTTACGTAAATACGTATATGTGTATATTGCGAACCACTATACTACTTCTAATATATACAAAATTTTCTATCCTAGAAAGTATGTGATGGTTTTTTACACTTGACATCTTTATTTTATCGTCTTGAAAACAGCTCAACCGCCAACGGTGCTATAAGCTATCGAAACGAAAATGACAGACGGCTTAGACAATTATTTGTTCCCAAGATGTCTTTACAATAACACACTATCGGTAACATTTTTCTCAGCCTTTTCTTAAAAAAGAAGAATGAACGATGAAATGATCATCAAGTTCGATAATTTGTACTTTGCATCTGAGCAGGTGAAATGACAAATCGAGGATAAAAATTTTTAACCGTCACATTACGTTCTTGTCAAAACAATGTACAACACAAAGCATATATGAATATATATATATATATATATATATATATAT